TGTGTTCCCAGTGCTACGAAAAAAAAAATAATCAAGCATATCTATGAAATCCCCTCTTGGAAGGTCAAAATAAGGCAAATGCAATACCAGAAATGCTCTCATCCAGTTAAGATGCAAAGTTGTCTCTGAACTGCCATCTGAGAGCCAGGATATTCAAGATCCCAGTCTCATGCCTGGCACCAGATGAAGTGCCAGCATGGTTAAGATCATAATTCATAGTACTAACTGCATACAGTTGTTTAAAATTCTGACTTACTAGTCAAAACAAGCTGGACAGCTATAACGGGAATCTTTCAAAGTGTAGGTAGCTATGTGGGTGTGTTAGGAACAAAATAACAAAAAACACACTATGGTAACATCTTTATTAAGGCCAACTAAAATATCTGCAAATCATAAACAAATCATGGTGCTATTACAATTGGGTCTTGAAGCATTAAAGATCTCCAAATTTAGCTCTCTACACCTTTTCTATCTGGACGTGAGAGCTTTTTGGAACAAGGACTTTCTTTCAAAGCTAACACACATAATTGCACTGAGCACTAGTCCTGGGCATCACACAAGCTATTTTGTGCCTTTAAACGCAGCTTGGTTGCAATTTTGCACATTTTCTACTTGAGTTGCCTGTATGGGGCCCCTTAGCAAGGCTAAGTACCAGGCTCAGGAACTGCAGACACAATTTGGGTAATGCTACTATCATATAACTTCACTAGAAACTATACTGTGCACAAAGATCATGTAATGTATCTAGCATGTGGAAAGCACATTACATGGAATCTTCCATTTTCAAAATGGAAAGATCCAGTGAATTACTTTGGTAAAAATGATCTCAAATCAGATGAATGTAATGCATTTGCTAAGTCTGTTATAAGCTATAAAATTCAGGACTATGTAACTGCAAAAAGTAAACCAACACAGACATCCAGGGCCATGCCAGAAGTACACAATTCATCCGCAATAGTCTAAAATAAATAGGAACACAATTCATCCCACAAGTTAATATAAAGAAATGGCAGTGGTGTATTATTTTAAAATATAGTAATCAAAATCGTATTGTACCCCAAGAAAATAAAAAGTAATCCAGACAAATAATAAAGAGCCAGTGTGATATAGTGGTTAAGAAGCTGAACTAAGAGTGAGGAGACACAGGTTTTACTCCACCCTCAGCCACAGATGCTCCCTAGGTGACTTTGGGCCAGCCCCTCTCTCTCAGCCCACTGTACCTCACAAGAAGAAGGAGCCCTATGTATGCTGCCACCTTGAGCTCCTGTACAAAAGGAGAGATATAAGTCAAATAAATAAAATGAAGCTGAGCTATAACTGAAATAATACCCATGAACCAATATGCTAATTGTATTTATTACTTGTTTTCAGAATAGTAACTGATTATAATCCTGGTGGCTGACAAAAGATCTCTGAGAGGGAGACACAGGCAAAGAGCTGAAAAAGGGGAAACCATTCATCTGCTTACCTTCTTGGCTTTTGTGTGGCAGTTCAGTCACTGCTGGCTGTATCTTTGGTTCTGGTGGCAGATGCTGATTGGTTGAAAAAAGCTCCACATTTTCAGTCTGCCTGATTGGTGGCACTGGAACCTCAGAAGATTTTGTTACCTGGATTTCCACACGTTTGGTAGCAACATCAGGCAAAGGTGGACTAGTGGCTTCAACTTTGCGCTGAGTTGGTTCAGGGATCTTTGAGGGGACTTCCATTCTGCGAAGAGCTGGGTCCTGGGGCTTACTTAGACTGATCTCAGTCCTTCTGGGAGCAGTCTCAGGGGGCTTGTGTCCCAACACATCTGTTCTCTTGAGGCCAAATCTTGATGCTCCTGAGTTGGAATTTTCCACTTGCTTAGATGATATATCAATGGAGATTTCTGTTCTTCTGGACACTGGTTCAGGATGTTTTGGCCCAGAGATCTCAACTCTCCTTAAAGAGGACTTGGGAGATCTTTGTGCTGGAGACTCCCCATGTCTGGAAGGAGTCTCTGAATTCCTGGCCCCAAGATCTTGGAATTTCTGTGTGGAACTGGACACTGTGGACCTAACAAGAGGATTGGGTGTCCGCCTTTGTGGAGTGGAAGAATTTGAAGGCTGATCTACTTCTTCAACTTCAAAGGATCTCTTCAAAGCTGAAAGATATAAAAATAATTAAATTTAAACAACACTATCAGAACTACATAGTTATTGTCCTTGGGCTGTCAATTATACAGCAACATTGTACTTCATTGTATGATATCCCTCAAACCGACAATTTTGATAATTCAAATCATATACTTAGGAAAGGGGGATGACTTGCTGAACCTTCGGATCTTTAGGGAACTTGTGCTGAGTTTCAGGAAACTTAATCTTCTCTGATTTTCAAGCCTTCTCAAAGACAGCTCAAAAATAAGGAAATACCTGACTCTTCTTGGCAGTCTGAAGGCGGCCATGGACTCTCACAAGATTCCTAGATTCCTGTGTAAAAATGTATACCACATAAAGTCCCTTCCTTTCTTTGAAATTCTTAGTTACAGTTACTTTGAGATTTCTTCCTGAAATTTACTTTGTTCCCACTCATTACATTTATATAATAGCATAAGACACATCTAGAAGGCCACTGGAGGAAAACAAAGAGTGAACCTGAGCAAACATGGGTAATAGCCTTTCTTAAGGATTACCTTGTGGTGATAAGGGCAGTGAGATTTGTTATTTCTCAGCCCTTATTGCATCTGCAGAATGGGTAAGGAGAGGCCACAGGAATAACTGCAGGGCTGCGGCGAGGACTAAGCATCTAGGCAGATAAAGTCACAGTTTTGTTTGAAGTTGGAATCTGGCTGGACAGGTCCTTTGGAGTTGTCTGAGACAGTTACCCGGGAAGAGTTTGAACCTATTGGCCCTAATGAAGTGGACAGAGTCCTCAGTGCTATGAGTTCAGCCACCTGTATTTTAGATCCCTCTCCTTCCTGGCCAACTAAGGTCTCTTGGGAGGTGACAAGTGGTTGGGTCCAGTGTTGCTCTGTGGGAGGTTGTTCAGTTTGCCTTGAAGGAGGCAGTTGTCTGCCCCCTTCTCAAGAGACTGTTGGTAGACCAAGGGATCTGGACAATTTTCATCCAGTCTCCACCTTCCCTTTTTAAGGTCCTAGAAGAAGCAGATTATCTGGATCCTTTCCAGTCAGGATTCAGGCCTGGTTATAGTACTGAGACATCACTGATTGCACTTGTTGAAGACCTCTGGTGGGCTCAGGGTGGGGGTAGTGCATCCATTCTGGCCCTTCTTGATCTCTCAGTGGCTGTTAATACCATTGTTGATGGTATCCTTCTGGCCTGGCCTATAGAAGTGGGAGTGAGGACACTGTATTACAATGGTTCTCCTCCTTTATTCAGGGCTGGTTCCAATCAGTGTTGGCAGGGAGGAAGAGGTTGAACCTGAGATCCCTGCTTTGTGGGGAGCCTCAGGGCTCTACTCTCTCACTATTCCTGTTTAACATCTACATGAAGCTGCTGAATGAGGTCATCCACCACCACAGGGTGGAGTATCATCAGTATGCTGACTATATGCAGTTGTACATGTCCATCCTGAGATGACCAAGTGATGCTACTGAGGTCCTTTCCCAATGCCTGGAGGCTATGAGTGTCTGGGTGGGGGAGAACAGGCTCTGGCTCAACCCTGGCAAGATTGAGTGGCTGTGGGTTTTAAGCCCTCCACCCCTCTCCTGGCTCTGGCCTTGCTCGTAGTAATTCACATCTTAGTCATCTCCCATTAGGATTCCTGTAACGTGCTCTATGTGGGGCTGCCATTGAAGAGCATTTGAAAGCTGCAGCTAGTCCAGAATGCAGCAGCACAGGCAGTTTTTGGAGTTTCACACTACACTCATATAACACCACTGCTCTGTAAGCTGCTCTGGCTTCCAGGCGGCTTCCAGGCGCGATACTAGATGCTGCTTATCACCTTGTCACTTATAAAGCCCTACATGGCCTAGGGCTTTATAAGTGACAGGCTATTTGTGGGACTGCCTTTCTCACATTATTTCTGCTTGTCCCACCAGATCTAACAGAAAGAGCATGCTCCAGTCCCCTTCTATCAAACAATGTCAACTTGTTGGATCCCTGAGTCATGCCTTCTCTGTGGCAACACCTGCCCTGTGGAACAGCATCCCCTCAGAGATCCAGATGGCCCTGACCCTGCTGGCCTTTCACAAAGTTCTGAAGATCTGACTGCTTCCCCACACGTTTGAGCCAGGGTGTTAGGTGAGCTTTGCTG